CGGTTATCATTGTGTATAAATCCATGTAGAGACTCACCCAATCGGAATTTTTCTAAAATCAATATCTAACTTTTCCACGCGCGTTTCAGGCGGAGGTGTGGTTCTTCTGTATGCATCTAAATATCACGATATACCAGCCGTGGTGAATATCTCTGGCCGTTATAATCTCAAGCGAGGACTTGAAGAACGATTTGGAAAAAATTTCATGGATAGACTCAATAAGGATGGATACATTGATATTAAGACTAAATCAGGTGATAGAATTTGCTACATTTTGTTGCAACATTTCGTGTTTTGTCTAACAATTAACAATTTGTGTTATGCTAATATTCTTTACGTATCATTATATGCGCGCATCTTCAATCAATTAAACGTTTTGTGTTTCGTCTCGTCGCAGGAGAAGTTGATTATCGAGTCACGTTAGAGAGTATGATGGAGAGACTCAATACAGACATGCACGAATCGGCCCTTACAATTGATAAGAAATGCCGGTCAGCACGATATTTTTATTTTTCAAAAGAAAAATATGAAAAATATTACAATGACCCATTTAAACTTAAATATCTCATGTGGTTTCCTTGCATGTTTTTCCCGTCATTTCCTTTTCGTTCAGACATCAAAGAAAATTCGAACACTTGGTCGATTCTAAATTATGTCTAAAACCTGGTATGCAGGGTGTTGATAGTTCACGGATCAGCAGACGAAATAATCCCAGTAGAAGATGGAATCGAGTTTGGCAAGATTATACCAAACAACTGTTTGCGAATCATACAAGGAGCTGATCACTGCTTTACTTCGCATCAAGATGAGCTTATTGGGGTCGTTTTACCTTTCGTTAAGGTATGCGTGCAGCAGCTTGAAAATAACCCGAATGAGTAAATATTGCTATATAAGGTCTGCAGATTTACATATTCGTAAGTATTTTTGTTACTATTATCGATCCATTTTTTAGTACACGATGCTCTATATTTGGGAAACTAGTTGCACTGGAGAGTTTTGTCAAGGCCTTTCTTTCAAAGAAAAACTTGGCCTTATAAACTTTTCGTACAATGCTCATATTATGTAATAAGTACGCCTAAAACCTATTAAAATATGAAGCCCCGATCATTGCCAACTGATGCACATTGTATGTATTACTGGCAACCTTCACTTTTGATTTTTGAATATGTTCTCCCATCAAGAATGAAAATGAAAGTCGCTAAAGATATTTAGTTGAAGAAGATCATGAAACGAACATCATTCGTGGTTGATTCAGTTTGTGGTTGAAAACTTGTCATTAAGGGTTCTAACATTATTCATTCGCTATTCGATGTTAAGAATCAATCTCAATGAATTGATGTATATTTCCAACAATCTTTGATATTTAGCATGCAATTCATTTTTGTGATGCATTTGAATCTAGATTGTACACAACTTTTTGAATTTTTTTACCCCAACAAAAAAAAAAAAAAATTAACTGGACAAAAAAAGAAAAAAAAGAAATGTGGACAAAAATCAAAAGCACGTATTCTGAGAATACGTTTTACATTGCAAATAAAATTGTAAAACGTATTACGACAATACGTTTTTTTAAAAAAATTAATTAAAAAAACGTATTCTCAGAATACGGGCTTTTGAATTTTGTCCAATTTTTTTTTTTAGTTTTATTTTATTTTTTCCACTTGATTTTTTTGTTTTTTATATATATAAATTCCCCCAACTTTTTGTGATACATTTTGAATTTGCAGCATTCTGTTTCTTCATTGCTGGGATCGGTTGTCCATGTTATTTTATTGTTAATAACTTATTTCTCTTGTGTTTTTTGTTTTGTTTTGTTGGATTGTTAGTGTTGGTAAGCCATGTTGGCTTTTTAGGAGGAGCCACTTGTGTCTCTTTCTTGGATTTCTTCTTTAGTTCTACTAGGGAAAAAGCCGTGTAACTAGTTGGTTAGCCAAATGTACATTTCAAGGTATCTATTATAATTTGTTTGTTTGAAAAAAAAAAAAAATAACATCGAACATTAATATATAGGATCATTTGTGCATGAAAAGAGATTATTTTACTTGTTCCATGCCATAATTAGGCTATGTATAGATAAATCCCCCATCCTAAGTTCATTTTCTCAATCAGTCTCTAGAGAAAGTTTTTCCATTCAACTCCCTAGTCAACTAATAAATGGTCACTAAAGTTAAAATTACATTTATGTCATGATATCTATTTGCTAAAAAAAAGTATATGTTTTCATTCACCATAGTACCTGTTTCTTTCAAAATAATACCTTAAGTTAAAAATTTTCATAGAGTATTTGATTTCTTTCTATCTAGTACTTGAAATTATTCCAAGGGCACCACATTGCATAAAATGGTTTCAGAGCCCAAGATTTATTATGAACTCTTAGATGAATTTATTATATGGTAATTAACTTTAGAAAGGAGAAAATTTAAGAATGGATAGTGGAAATTGTCCAAAGTGTGTGCATTATAATAGATATCTTCAAATTTTGAAGATAGGCGAACAAGAACACCAACAAATGGTTGCCCACTAGGATGATCGTCATGTTGAGCAAGTTATGGCAAGAGTAGATAGAATGAATATTAGACTGTCAAAAACAGAAGAAATATCATATGGATGTCCTCTGGGCAAACCAATTGATGCAAACTGATTTATTAAATCATATCATATGAATCAAATTAAAGGATGAGTCTTAATAAATTATTGGGCTGGAATAAAAGTTAATCTAGACTCTTTTAATTACTCCACAGATATTTGTGAAGTACAAAAGACAGTACAATTGTGCAAAGTTATGGAGAAGTCCAACAGATGGTTCGGAAAAATCCACCAAATACAATCAAAGGTGGAAGAAATTATGAAGAATCAAAAGGAGATTCTGGATATCCGTATAAGTATCCAGAAACCAATTAAAGCATTGGAAGATAAACCCAGGACTTCCATAGGAAGAAGAAAACTAATTTTCGGAACAGTACCCTTTTTACAACAAAAGGGTAAACCAACCGAAGTTCGAAGGCCGATGACGGAGGACGAAAAGATGAGAGCCATCTTAAAAGGAAAATTCACTAATAAATAATGGAAAGTGTCAATTTGGAAGATCTATATGACCTTGCATAATCCTTTGCGGGATTGAGTCTAGTAGACTTAAAAATGAATACAAGAGATGGTTCAACGATAATAACTAGAACCCAACCTTCCCAAGAAGGAGAAAGCTCAGGTTCTCACCAACATGAGGAACAAATGCCCCATCAAGGGATTTTTAGATAAGAGGAGAAAGCAGGCATCCGACTGGTACCCGAATGCGTTCCCGAAGGCCAAACCTTCAAATATTTCTTATGGAAAATCACAACTAGATCCAATTCATCCTTATAGATTAATGTTGAATCTGGACACTTTAGATTTTAAAAATCGTGAGATCCTTATTGATGATTGGGCCTAAGCCATGAGAATTGCCGAAAGAACATTGGATCTCAATAAAAAAGAATTCACTTCACTTCTCGAAATGATCCTAGAAGGTTCAGTTAAAATTGCATGGAATATGGCTTCTCCAGATGTAAAAGGAGATGTTATAGTTGGAGAATCATTAAAAGGAATAGTTGATAATTTTGCTAAAGTACTCAAATATTATTTATCGTTACGGGATACTTTGAAGGAGTAGAGGAAGAAAAACAAATGAGATACAAGCAAGCCCTCTATCGCTGGAGTTACATGACATTTGTCATGTAGTTGAATAAAGCTATTTATGGAGTATCGATGGGAGTCCATGGTAGCGGACTCTGAAGCTTCGCAATTATTCTGTGCAAAGATATCCAGCTCATGTAGAAAAATGTTAATAAAGAATATAAAATGGACGAAGTAGATACAATGGCCATAAGAATATCATTCCTTAAGGAAAAATTGTCCCAGTGGTGTCATCAAGCTAGACATAGAAAAATTGTAAAAGACTTAGAGGAATCAACAAAACAGTTCCTCAGTGTTGAAAAGAAAATGAAATTCCAAAAATTATTGGAGGTCAACCACGGAGAAATAAAAGGAGAAGCATACCAGTAATGTTATTCCCGTGGATATACGAAGAACAGGTCCTCATGGAGACCTAGAAGATACTGGTCGAAACAAAAGGCCCGGAGTTACAAATTCGAACAATGATCACTCTCGAGTTGTAGCAGAGCTTCAACTTCCAGCTCTAATCAAAATAGAATGGGTAGAGATCCGATTCGAAGAACTTTCAGACGGACTCACCCTCGAGCCAATGAAAGTTTTAGAGATTGTAATTGTTGGACCTGTAGAGCAAAAGGGCATATATTGACTGATTGCCCTAATAAACAAAGACAAGGAATATGACAGTTGGAGGCTACCCTAGAATTTGAAGATGTTGTCTATTATCAAGATTTAGTACAAGTATATCAATTTGAGGATATTCCCTCAGAGGAAAGTATTTATGAGAAAGAAGAAGTCTACTCTAAAGATGGAAGTGAATCCAGTTCAGAGTCAGGATAAAGAAGATTTTCTTCAACAAGTAGTAAGGGAAGACATGTTGGGATTTCTGTCCCATACGACAGTGTCTTACAAAACCCTTATAAAAATCATGAAGGAAGATACAAAGCTCCAAATGTATGATGGAGTTACAATGGGGGCAATAGAAAAGGCATTGGATATGATTGAGTTGAAAAGTAGAAATCACCATCTTATCCATCGGATTTCAACTGGAGAGTTTGCTATTCCAATGGAATACACAGGGAATCACATTGAAATGCAGTTCATTCCTTACAGAGAAATTCAAGAGATCAAGAGTAAACTAAAGAAAGAGATGGCTAATACACTTTCATGGATCCATATTTAGACTATTAAAGTAATCATTAAGTCAACCTTTAAAGAAGGAAAAGATTCGCCTCTCAATTTGGCGATCTTTGATAAAAGAATTTATGACCTTAAGGACTTATGTCTTGGAGAAATCAAGGGAAATATGTATGTCTGAAAATTGAGATTCAATGTTTATCCAAGGATTGCATACAACTTAGGAGATAAGGATTTTAACAACATTCTTACCCTTTACCAAGATTTTAAAAGAATAGAGTTAATGAATGACAGGAGTAGGCCTTATTCTATTACCTATAAGATCTCTTATGCTCTCTCAAACACTCATCATTATGAAGTATTTTTGAGAAAGGAATTCATAGAAGAATCCAAAATTTTTTAGGACTTCGCAAAAGCTATATTATCGAATATTGTTGATAATCTGACAATAGGTGAAATTGATATGAGAATCCAAGATAGACCAATTTTTAATCGGTTTAAAAGTTTCATGATCAAACCGAGGACAATGTCTTTCCAGCAAGATAGAATGCTTTGCAATAATCGCTTGGAGGAACAAATGACAAGTGTACATAAAAGGACTCCGGAGGTATTTAAAACAAGTGGAAAGATCAGATGTCCTGAAGGATGGAGGTCAGTAGAAATAATGTTCGATATAATACAAAGGATAATCTCTTCCTTGTGATGCATTATATTACCTCCAACAATCGATAGTGGGAGAATATGAAGGAATCCTAAGGATTTGAGAAATAGAAACCATAATCACGGTAGGAGCATGTAGGATCCCAAAACAACTTGTTCTAGGACTGGAATTCGTTGAAACCCGTAAACCTTGGGAAAGGTTACAAGATGAAATGAAATTCACGGCGAATGGAAGAAGGTATAGGATCTAGATGACAACTAGTCCTTTCTCTATATACATTTCGATCAAAGTGTTATATGAGAAATATGTGACATAATACTTTGGAGCCTATATTGATTCAAGAGCAGGGATTTGCATAACAAAACAAGGAGCGTTTCCAGAAGAAATGGGGGAAGACCTAACCCTATAGCAAGAAGAGATTTCTCTAAAAGATTCT